TTGGGGTTAGAAATATTCTCACCAGAGCCAAGGCAGCATCGTCGCTAAGCGACAATCCCTCTTCATGGGTTAGACACATTCTCGCCGAAGTCAAGGCAGCATCGCCGCTGAGCGGCGATCCCTCTGCAATTTTTTATGGCCAAGAACCGGGTTGTTAGCATCTTCATGAAAAGTGTTTCTCAACCTCTTTGAATTTTTCAGATTCAAGCTTCACGTTCGTTTAAATCCGACGCTTAGCTTGCGGTGGGGTGTTAAGGATATTTAGTAATAAATTATAGTTTACCATATATATTATATTTTATATTTTATTATAAGGCAAATATTAGATATTTGCCTTATTATCTAGATATCTTTCCCTTTATTGTTATTTCCATTTATTACTATTTCCATATCCTTGTAATTCATTTGATTATAAATAAGATAACTTATTGTTATTTCCATTTATTACTATTTCCATATCCTTGTAATTCATTTGATTATAAATAAGATAACTTTTACACCATTTAGGTGTGGTGGATTAATCAAACATTCACAGGATTAATCAAACATTCACACACTTTTTGGTTGTTATTCTGCTACGGAACACCACCACTCTCTGCTAATGCTGCCTGCCCCTGCCCCTGCCTCTCTCCCTTCTTCTTTCTTCACTGCAACTCCTCATTCAACAAATAAATATATAAATAAATAAAATGAATTAAAATTCCCACTTGCTCAACTTGCCCCCCCCCCTCGCATCTTCCTCTCATTCCCAGATTTACCCAGAGATTCTCTTCTCTCCCTCCCACGCTCTTTTGATGTGTAATCGCACTTCATGGTGCTCATCCCCATCACATTTCTAGCCCAATCACACGGTGCAAAACCCACCTCCCTCCCCTCTTCATCATCATCCTCTTCTTCTACAATATTCTCACAGCCCTTCCTCCCCAATTTCTTTATCTTCTTTCTCTGAAAGCGAGGACTACCAGAGATTAGGTGCCCAATTACGGCAACCCCACGTCCAAGGGGGAATTCTAATTTCCCATTCCTTCACAACTAAACTAAGGCCACTCTTATTTTCTCATTCAAAATAAATAAATAAATAAACAAATAAATCATTTCGCCTTTCTTTAATTCTTTCGACACATTCTATTTTACTCATTTTATTTTATTTCCGAGCTTATTACTCATTACCCACCCGGCATTCAAAATATCAACTCCTTACTTTATTATTATGTATGCCAACAACTGCGTCAACCTTAATCTAATCATTAATATCTCCGAATGTTATTTAGCCTTCCTTTCATATTTTTGCAGCTACAGTAAGTCAACGGACAAGGACAACGCCAAATCAGATCTTATATTGAATTCATTTATTCCCTTGCATTATGCAATATGAATCAGCAATTATTTCCCAACAAATCTTAGTCTCATTATTTATTATAATGAAAAGAAAAAAAAAAAAAAAAAAAAAAGAGAGCAGTATTTAGAATAGTGAGATATAAAAGAGAATAATGATTAAGCACAGAAACAAAGTTAGGTACATAAATTTTACATGGATATGGAAGCTCTCCCAAGGTTTACAAATACGTAAATTAAAGCTACTACTAATTAATTATAACGACACAGGACAAGACATTATAATAGTACACAGCGCGGTGGGGAGGGAGAGATTCGGGAAGACGCGCAGCCAATGATGCATCGAATCAAGCCTCGCATCTGATCATGGGTGGGGCTTGTATGTTGTCCATGCAATATTTGTCATTGGAACATGCTAGTGCTGGCGGTGCATGCTCACCGTTGGATCCAGGAGCAGCCTCTTGACCCTCACCCTCTTTTTCATGCTCCTCGGGACTCTCTAAACTAGTACTACTCTTGGTTACAGTTTCAATATCCGCCTTGTGCTGCGGGAGCTTTACCTCAGAACCCCCCCTGGGTTTCCTGTAAATGGCGTACAGAATCATCTGAGCCATCCCGAATGTGAATCCCAATGTGTTTGGAAGCTGTCAGAGCAATATTAGTTGTTAATATCAACTTATTTTGCACATATATATATATATATGTATGTGTTGTTATTTATTGATGTTACCGCGACGTAGAAATCCTTGAGGAGCAGGCCATAGCAGAGCCACATAACGGCGCTGAGTGTGAGGAAAAAGGAGAGGTTAAATGGCATGAACTCCACGCTCTTTGTGCGGATAACCCTCCTCTACAAAGCCATGCAACAATAACAATGAGTTAAGCAAAATAAATAATTAAACAACAAGATGAGTTGGGCTCGTCCACCCACCATGATGCTGAGAGGAGCTGCAAAAACGCTGACGNGTTTCTCAACCTCTTTGAATTTTTCAGATTCAAGCTTCACGTTCGTTTAAATCCGACGCTTAGCTTGCGGTGGGGTGTTAAGGATATTTAGTAATAAATTATAGTTTACCATATATATTATATTTTATATTTTATTATAAGGCAAATATTAGATATTTGCCTTATTATCTAGATATCTTTCCCTTTATTGTTATTTCCATTTATTACTATTTCCATATCCTTGTAATTCATTTGATTATAAATAAGATAACTTTTACACCATTTAGGTGTGGTGGATTAATCAAACATTCACAGGATTAATCAAACATTCACACACTTTTTGGTTGTTATTCTGCTACGGAACACCACCACTCTCTGCTAATGCTGCCTGCCCCTGCCCCTGCCTCTCTCCCTTCTTCTTTCTTCACTGCAACTCCTCATTCAACAAATAAATATATAAATAAATAAAATGAATTAAAATTCCCACTTGCTCAACTTGCCCCCCCCCCTCGCATCTTCCTCTCATTCCCAGATTTACCCAGAGATTCTCTTCTCTCCCTCCCACGCTCTTTTGATGTGTAATCGCACTTCATGGTGCTCATCCCCATCACATTTCTAGCCCAATCACACGGTGCAAAACCCACCTCCCTCCCCTCTTCATCATCATCCTCTTCTTCTACAATATTCTCACAGCCCTTCCTCCCCAATTTCTTTATCTTCTTTCTCTGAAAGCGAGGACTACCAGAGATTAGGTGCCCAATTACGGCAACCCCACGTCCAAGGGGGAATTCTAATTTCCCATTCCTTCACAACTAAACTAAGGCCACTCTTATTTTCTCATTCAAAATAAATAAATAAATAAACAAATAAATCATTTCGCCTTTCTTTAATTCTTTCGACACATTCTATTTTACTCATTTTATTTTATTTCCGAGCTTATTACTCATTACCCACCCGGCATTCAAAATATCAACTCCTTACTTTATTATTATGTATGCCAACAACTGCGTCAACCTTAATCTAATCATTAATATCTCCGAATGTTATTTAGCCTTCCTTTCATATTTTTGCAGCTACAGTAAGTCAACGGACAAGGACAACGCCAAATCAGATCTTATATTGAATTCATTTATTCCCTTGCATTATGCAATATGAATCAGCAATTATTTCCCAACAAATCTTAGTCTCATTATTTATTATAATGAAAAGGAAAAGAAAAAAAAAAAAAAAAGAGAGCAGTATTTAGAATAGTGAGATATAAAAGAGAATAATGATTAAGCACAGAAACAAAGTTAGGTACATAAATTTTACATGGATATGGAAGCTCTCCCAAGGTTTACAAATACGTAAATTAAAGCTACTACTAATTAATTATAACGACACAGGACAAGACATTATAATAGTACACAGCGCGGTGGGGAGGGAGAGATTCGGGAAGACGCGCAGCCAATGATGCATCGAATCAAGCCTCGCATCTGATCATGGGTGGGGCTTGTATGTTGTCCATGCAATATTTGTCATTGGAACATGCTAGTGCTGGCGGTGCATGCTCACCGTTGGATCCAGGAGCAGCCTCTTGACCCTCACCCTCTTTTTCATGCTCCTCGGGACTCTCTAAACTAGTACTACTCTTGGTTACAGTTTCAATATCCGCCTTGTGCTGCGGGAGCTTTACCTCAGAACCCCCCCTGGGTTTCCTGTAAATGGCGTACAGAATCATCTGAGCCATCCCGAATGTGAATCCCAATGTGTTTGGAAGCTGTCAGAGCAATATTAGTTGTTAATATCAACTTATTTTGCACATATATATATATATATGTATGTGTTGTTATTTATTGATGTTACCGCGACGTAGAAATCCTTGAGGAGNGGGTTTCCTGTAAATGGCGTACAGAATCATCTGAGCCATCCCGAATGTGAATCCCAATGTGTTTGGAAGCTGTCAGAGCAATATTAGTTGTTAATATCAACTTATTTTGCACATATATATATATATATATGTATGTGTTGTTATTTATTGATGTTACCGCGACGTAGAAATCCTTGAGGAGCAGGCCATAGCAGAGCCACATAACGGCGCTGAGTGTGAGGAAAAAGGAGAGGTTAAATGGCATGAACTCCACGCTCTTTGTGCGGATAACCCTCCTCTACAAAGCCATGCAACAATAACAATGAGTTAAGCAAAATAAATAATTAAACAACAAGATGAGTTGGGCTCGTCCACCCACCATGATGCTGAGAGGAGCTGCAAAAACGCTGACGGACAGACCGCCACAAATGAAGCCAATCACTCGGGCTCGGTAGGGCCGCTTCACTAAGAATTGGGTGACTGCGAGAATCGAGCAAAACCCTACCACGTCCAACAGCAGAAAAAACCTGACTGTGAATGTCTGCAAGTGTGGAGCAATGGAACAGAGATTAGTTTGAGGTGCATGAATGCATGCATGAAGAATATTAAGTGAATTAGGATAATATAAGTAAATATTGACCCGAGCCTTCTTGGGAGCATAGGCAATGTATAAAGCGATGTAAATGGTCTCAATGAAACAGCCCACGGAGTTGATAGTCATCAGAAAGAACTCGTCCGCATTCAGCGTAGAATAGTATATCAATAGCAGAGCGCTGAACAACGCCACCACGTACGGAATTGATTGAAATCCTTCCGTTGATTTCTTTCTACACACCCTTACAAATGTAGGCCTGCAACCACATCCAATAATACTCAATACACCCACTGTCACATCAATCCCACCCATAAATACTGCCTTCCGAGCTATATACTTACACTGGGGCCAGAAATACGATGAACGAGAAAATGTTGCCTGTGAAGTTCCAAGCCAAACAAAACAAGTATATAAATCATCAGCACAAACCAACGAAACAGACACAAGCATATGGATGTATATATGCGCATGGTTCGTACCTAGAAGACCAAACGCAAAAATCCAAGGGTTGTGGTTCATAAAACTAAGAGCCATTATATATATTAAGGAAAACCCAAGTGGGATGTTGAAGGAGCAAGATAAAAGAGGAAGAGGCAGAGGAGTTTAAGTAATCTCTGTATGCAACCTCAAATCTTGCTGCAGATCAAATTAAGGAGGACTCGTATTTATAGTGCAGCGAGCTTATAAAAATGTTATTCCTACATGTCATGTGTTATGTGGTTTTGCATGAACAACTTTGAAACCGGGATTACTTTATGATCTTGATACATCAAAAGTGGCAAAACTGCACCTTTAATCTTGAAAATTACATTTTTATGATATCCTAACACTTGAAGTGGCCATCCTAGCCAAACCCCACTTCTCCTCCCCACCCCCAACTTTCTATGCATAGACTTGATCGCAACAAACGTTGGATGAGCCGTACAATTGGGGCCTGCATGCAGNGTTTCTCAACCTCTTTGAATTTTTCAGATTCAAGCTTCACGTTCGTTTAAATCCGACGCTTAGCTTGCGGTGGGGTGTTAAGGATATTTAGTAATAAATTATAGTTTACCATATATATTATATTTTATATTTTATTATAAGGCAAATATTAGATATTTGCCTTATTATCTAGATATCTTTCCCTTTATTGTTATTTCCATTTATTACTATTTCCATATCCTTGTAATTCATTTGATTATAAATAAGATAACTTTTACACCATTTAGGTGTGGTGGATTAATCAAACATTCACAGGATTAATCAAACATTCACACACTTTTTGGTTGTTATTCTGCTACGGAACACCACCACTCTCTGCTAATGCTGCCTGCCCCTGCCCCTGCCTCTCTCCCTTCTTCTTTCTTCACTGCAACTCCTCATTCAACAAATAAATATATAAATAAATAAAATGAATTAAAATTCCCACTTGCTCAACTTGCCCCCCCCCCTCGCATCTTCCTCTCATTCCCAGATTTACCCAGAGATTCTCTTCTCTCCCTCCCACGCTCTTTTGATGTGTAATCGCACTTCATGGTGCTCATCCCCATCACATTTCTAGCCCAATCACACGGTGCAAAACCCACCTCCCTCCCCTCTTCATCATCATCCTCTTCTTCTACAATATTCTCACAGCCCTTCCTCCCCAATTTCTTTATCTTCTTTCTCTGAAAGCGAGGACTACCAGAGATTAGGTGCCCAATTACGGCAACCCCACGTCCAAGGGGGAATTCTAATTTCCCATTCCTTCACAACTAAACTAAGGCCACTCTTATTTTCTCATTCAAAATAAATAAATAAATAAACAAATAAATCATTTCGCCTTTCTTTAATTCTTTCGACACATTCTATTTTACTCATTTTATTTTATTTCCGAGCTTATTACTCATTACCCACCCGGCATTCAAAATATCAACTCCTTACTTTATTATTATGTATGCCAACAACTGCGTCAACCTTAATCTAATCATTAATATCTCCGAATGTTATTTAGCCTTCCTTTCATATTTTTGCAGCTACAGTAAGTCAACGGACAAGGACAACGCCAAATCAGATCTTATATTGAATTCATTTATTCCCTTGCATTATGCAATATGAATCAGCAATTATTTCCCAACAAATCTTAGTCTCATTATTTATTATAATGAAAAGGAAAAGAAAAAAAAAAAAAAAAGAGAGCAGTATTTAGAATAGTGAGATATAAAAGAGAATAATGATTAAGCACAGAAACAAAGTTAGGTACATAAATTTTACATGGATATGGAAGCTCTCCCAAGGTTTACAAATACGTAAATTAAAGCTACTACTAATTAATTATAACGACACAGGACAAGACATTATAATAGTACACAGCGCGGTGGGGAGGGAGAGATTCGGGAAGACGCGCAGCCAATGATGCATCGAATCAAGCCTCGCATCTGATCATGGGTGGGGCTTGTATGTTGTCCATGCAATATTTGTCATTGGAACATGCTAGTGCTGGCGGTGCATGCTCACCGTTGGATCCAGGAGCAGCCTCTTGACCCTCACCCTCTTTTTCATGCTCCTCGGGACTCTCTAAACTAGTACTACTCTTGGTTACAGTTTCAATATCCGCCTTGTGCTGCGGGAGCTTTACCTCAGAACCCCCCCTGGGTTTCCTGTAAATGGCGTACAGAATCATCTGAGCCATCCCGAATGTGAATCCCAATGTGTTTGGAAGCTGTCAGAGCAATATTAGTTGTTAATATCAACTTATTTTGCACATATATATATATATATGTATGTGTTGTTATTTATTGATGTTACCGCGACGTAGAAATCCTTGAGGAGCAGGCCATAGCAGAGCCACATAACGGCGCTGAGTGTGAGGAAAAAGGAGAGGTTAAATGGCATGAACTCCACGCTCTTTGTGCGGATAACCCTCCTCTACAAAGCCATGCAACAATAACAATGAGTTAAGCAAAATAAATAATTAAACAACAAGATGAGTTGGGCTCGTCCACCCACCATGATGCTGAGAGGAGCTGCAAAAACGCTGACGGACAGACCGCCACAAATGAAGCCAATCACTCGGGCTCGGTAGGGCCGCTTCACTAAGAATTGGGTGACTGCGAGAATCGAGCAAAACCCTACCACGTCCAACAGCAGAAAAAACCTGACTGTGAATGTCTGCAAGTGTGGAGCAATGGAACAGAGATTAGTTTGAGGTGCATGAATGCATGCATGAAGAATATTAAGTGAATTAGGATAATATAAGTAAATATTGACCCGAGCCTTCTTGGGAGCATAGGCAATGTATAAAGCGATGTAAATGGTCTCAATGAAACAGCCCACGGAGTTGATAGTCATCAGAAAGAACTCGTCCGCATTCAGCGTAGAATAGTATATCAATAGCAGAGCGCTGAACAACGCCACCACGTACGGAATTGATTGAAATCCTTCCGTTGATTTCTTTCTACACACCCTTACAAATGTAGGCCTGCAACCACATCCAATAATACTCAATACACCCACTGTCACATCAATCCCACCCATAAATACTGCCTTCCGAGCTATATACTTACACTGGGGCCAGAAATACGATGAACGAGAAAATGTTGCCTGTGAAGTTCCAAGCCAAACAAAACAAGTATATAAATCATCAGCACAAACCAACGAAACAGACACAAGCATATGGATGTATATATGCGCATGGTTCGTACCTAGAAGACCAAACGCAAAAATCCAAGGGTTGTGGTTCATAAAACTAAGAGCCATTATATATATTAAGGAAAACCCAAGTGGGATGTTGAAGGAGCAAGATAAAAGAGGAAGAGGCAGAGGAGTTTAAGTAATCTCTGTATGCAACCTCAAATCTTGCTGCAGATCAAATTAAGGAGGACTCGTATTTATAGTGCAGCGAGCTTATAAAAATGTTATTCCTACATGTCATGTGTTATGTGGTTTTGCATGAACAACTTTGAAACCGGGATTACTTTATGATCTTGATACATCAAAAGTGGCAAAACTGCACCTTTAATCTTGAAAATTACATTTTTATGATATCCTAACACTTGAAGTGGCCATCCTAGCCAAACCCCACTTCTCCTCCCCACCCCCAACTTTCTATGCATAGACTTGATCGCAACAAACGTTGGATGAGCCGTACAATTGGGGCCTGCATGCAGTGCAGAAGTTCTTATTTATTATTCAATGGAAAAGAGAAGGATATTAATTGTTTTTATTTTTGTTGCAGCTATTGCGTTCTATCTTTGTAGCTTTTGGAGCTCACGCGTGATTCAGGGACTTCAAAGTCTCCTGCGTTGCAAGGTGTCACCATGTTAACTGATGAAAACTATATGAATCGAACCCGCACAAACAGAATAATAATAATAATATGAGCCAAAGTATTTGTTTTATGTGGGAACTTTCATTAAAGGAAGAAGAGATATTATAAGGTGAGGAAAGAGTTTGATTAGTGTTGGTTAGCAGGTAAGAGGGGCCTAATTCGTTGGACATACGACAGGTGTGTAGTTCGGAACGATTACACCTGAAAAGATAAGATTTAGTATTTGTTTTGTTTCGCTTTGGGATTGGAATTGGAATTTACAAAGACTGGCTTCCTTCATTAGCTGTTGCAGGATTATAATAATCCCCACTACTCTCACTCGATGCTCTTATAGTATAATATAAAAATGTTCATCACCAGGTGATTTCGTTTGCAACTTTCTTTTTCGGAGAAGTCCAAAGGCAGGTAGCTATTCATCTTATTTTCTGCTATCATTCGCTGGTTCTCCATTTATTGGGTATTGGTATTATTACATATCTAAAACCTGATCAGACTCCTCCACTAACTAACATTGTTTGTTTACCCAATAGAAATGAAGCATAAGAGATAGTATATTTGAATTCCTACTTATACTTTGTAGTAATAATTAAATGTTGATTTATGAACACAAAAATGGGTAATATTCAGTTTCCGTGTGTGTTTAGACAACAGCCCAACATTTAGAATGTTATGCACAACAGACTCCAAATAGCACAGATATGGTGTTGCGAGGATGTCCATACGCAATTCCTTTCACCTCTGCACATCTAAATGCTAATCTCTCTTTATTAACTTTATATTCATCTAAACCCCTTCCCTTTTTGGTTTTCATTATTAAAACCTCGTCGTGGGTTGGTCTGCTTCTACAAATCAAATTCCAGTCTGTCATTATCATAGCAATTGGAAGCTGATATAGTGGGGATTTGAGGTAGATTGGAACCAAAGTGGAAAGGCCAATGAAGGATGTCTTTTAAGGCAACCAAAACTATATGAACTTTCATTCTTTATAATCGAAAATTAATAATAAAACTACAAGAGGCTACCCATTTCAATCCAGTAATTCTCTCTCATCAAATGTAAAATATTTCAACTTCAAAAAATGAACAATATTTCAAGAAGTTCAGAACCTTTTCCTTTCGGTTGGATTTGGACAATAGATCCACCAAGAAAATACACTCAAGCCTCCCGCGTTGAGATCCATTAACTGTTTTGGAATCGCTTCATAATGATGATGCTCATATCCATATAGCGCTGGGCACAGTTTGATAGACAGTTGGATTCACTAGAACTGAACTTACTCCCTGGCGTACCAGTGATACACTTGTCCCAACACACACTGGTAAGCTTAGCCACCATCTCAGCAACCATAGCTCTTTGCTTCTCTTCCTGTTCAACAAAATTACCAAATAATCTATTATTAGCATCGAATTTTGTGACGGCAACAAAATAGAAGTCAAACAGCAAAGCATCCCACTATCTAAACTTTTGAGGGGGAGGGGGAGGGGGAGGGGTCATATCCGGCAATGAAAAAATCTGGAGGTTGAGCAATTGAAGAGTAGGCAACACAGATTTAGCAGTCAACTGATTACCACCTATGGTTGGTTGACCAATGAGATTAAACATCTTACATTAACTTAAATCATACTTGGAAAAGACACATAACAGTGACCGACCTCAAGTTCAGACAAACTCAGATGTTTTAAGTGATATGAACCCATGGAATTCCATATCCTATAGTTACTTGCATGGCTGACGAACTCGTCGAATACGCTTATCCAGAAAAATGTTTCTTTCTTTTTTCAAGAAAAAGATTCACAAAAATCTCAAACCATGTATTGTTTCCACATTTGTATGATGAATATTCCAAACAGCAGTAACAAGCAGCATCGAGTGGCACCTCTGAACTCTTCAGACCAAATTTCCGCCTAAAAGGCTCATCTTAAAGCGAAGTAAGAAGTAGGTTCTACAACCAACTCTTCAATTTATCTTTTTTTTATATATAAAAAATGTAATAACAATATATTTCACCTACACTCAGGTTGCGAAGAGATGGAAAGCACATTTAACTCATTTCAGAATTAGAGACAAACTAATAGGCTACTTTCAAGAAGTTATCTCTAGTGAGTAATGAGTTGTGACAACATCAAAGCATTTCTTAAGATATTGTAGGAACTAAACTGGAGATGCATACAGAGAAGATTAAAGGCAACCCATTAGCACATTGATGGAAAAGGAATTAAAACTCAGATTTTTCATTTTCTAGTTGGAAGACAAGAATCAGTCAACATTTAAGATTTGAAGTGTTTTTTTTTTAAACCTAAAAGTGAACTCACATTGATAAAATTCATCAGCTCCGGGGAGTTAAGAGACGAGGAATCCATGGAAAGTTAGGGAGAAAGGTCGATGAGCACCAAACTATTGAGTCGCTAAAGCCCGCGAACCTCCCCAGCTGTGAGTGACTGCAAAACCCTAACGCCCCCGTCAGTTTCAGAGCTTAGGGAAGACCCAAATGATGCGCTTATTGGGCCAGTTCATATTTTGAGAGTCATGGGCCTAATGCCGGCCTTCTTGAGTTGGGGTTGGCCCCAGGGAAAGGCAATTGGGCTGTTTCAGAAAGAAACTGTATAGAGACATATGGGCTGGTTATCCGGAGAGAGAGAGAGAGGGAGATAGATAATGGTGGCGGGCGGGGGTTGAATTGGGAAAGGAAAAGGCGACATCTTCATGGCGAAGAAAAGTAGGAAGGGAAACTGACTTTTAGAGGAAGCTTTGAATGAAGTATTTCTTTTGGCCCTTTCCCTTTTTTGTGCTTTTGTTCTGGAAAATTTAAAATAGATGAGGAAATAAAGACCCGACTTTTGAATCCATAAACAAAGTTTTGAGAAAGAAGGGCGCTGTTCATTCACAAAGTCGATCAAAGTCGCACTTAGGGAGAGCTTTATGTGTCATATTTCCACTCACCCAACCACACAAATTGGATCAAACCCCCCCTTCCTTAATCGCTTATAATTAATACCCTAAACTCTAAAAATAATCATCACCAAATCCTAATGCGCGAAGGAACTTCATCCACACTCAAATTACCCCTCCATCTCCTCCATAAAAGAAGTAAATTATTAAAGTAAAACAATGGCGTCCCGTCGCCCACCATTGCGTTATTAAATTGAAGGGGAGAAACAAAAGTGTGATTCACTGTCCACTTTTGAAGGAGCCAGGGGAAGAGGAGGGACTGGTCAGCAGTGGGAATGGAGTTGGGCACGTGCTGCCCGTGATGGCGTAGTGTAGTAGCGTATGTTGGGACAAGGCCTAGGCTAAGTAATTAGTGATTCACCAAAGCTGCATGCAAATATATATATATATATATAGATAGATAGATATGGGCATAGGTAAGATAGATAAGAAGTTGAGAGCGTGGAAGAGACGGCATGAGGGGATTGCCTCCTGGGTTTCGGTTTGAGCCGACGGAAGAAGAGCTGGTGTTTGAGTATCTGAAGTGCAAGGTATTCTCCTTTGCCTTGCCTGCTTCTATCATTCCAGAGACCACCACTAGTGTTTGCAACTTGGATCCTTGGGATATTCCAGGTAACTGATTCTGCTTTAAGTTGTAGAGTAATGTGGGTTTGGTTTGGTCTGAATTTAGGTTGCTTTGACTTTGTGTTAGGAGGCGGCGGGGGTTGGGAGGAAGATGCATACTTGTTCAGCAAGAACCAGGAGTGTGATCGAAGAGTTAGATGGAGTCCGAGTGGGTACTGGAAGGCCAAGGGGTCGGAGAGGAAGATAGTGAGCTCGAGTAGTGACGCAGTGGGACTGGTGGGGATGAGGAAGACTCTGGTTTTCTGGATGGGGAGCAGCAGCAGTAGGAAGACGGGGTGGGTGATGCATGAATACCGCCTACTTTTGAGTCCCACACAAGCGCCTACACCTCCCAGTGTAGTAATTAATAACATGGAGAAGTGGGTTGTGTGCCGCATCGTCTGCAACAACTCGGGGATCAAGAATGACCTCCATTTCCATCCCCTCCAATATCCTGTTTCTGCTTCGACAAACGACGACACCAACGCCCTCTCCGACGATTCTGTTTCCTCCACCGCCTCATCCTCTTCCTTTTCCGCCACCACTACGATGCCCTTTCCCAACCACCATTCTTCTGCCTCTAATTAATTCTATTATTCTCTTCTCTGCCAATTGTTTCCATTTCTCTACTACTTCTATGTATCGCTCTCATCCTTTCCTTCTAACCCACCTTTGAATTTGAATGAATTTAGCATAATTTAAATTTGAGTTTGGAAGTAGTAATTGAAACTAAAAATTGATATAACCAACTGCTCAAGTTCAAACATAAAAATCTAAATTTGTAATTGCCTCATTTATCCTTTGATTTGAATTTGTAAGTGAAAGATGAATATGGTTTAAAAGTGGATTGGACAGTTGGGAATATTGTGTGGCTGTCTATTCTTGGGAGGGACGACAACAGGTGACAACAACAGGAGACAACAACAGGTCAAAACAGGTCACAGTAGAAAGGAGGGTAACTCAGACTCGGAGTTGACGCTGTGTTTACTATTCTCGGTGTATCCAATTTCTACAACAGGCTGTCACAATGCCACCTCTTATTCAATTCTCTCTTTAAAATTCTGTCCTCTCTTCATAATTTTTACCGCCGCCTCTCTCAACTAAATTCTGCCTTTCATCCTTTCCTTTCTTCATCTCTCCCTCTCTGTGCACTGCAAGCTTAATCCGGCTTTAATGGGCTGTGGAAACTCCAAGCTTACTCCGGAAGGAGAGTCGATTCTCCCCATGATTCGCCCACTTCTTTTCCGCACCAAATTTGCGGAGTTCAGGAAACGTAAGAATGGAACGCATCTGAGAGATACAGCGCTGTCAAAGAAAGTGCTTCTCACAGAGGGAGAAATAGAAGAAGAGAACTCCATACTTGCTGTTCATAACAGGAACTGCATCTATGGTTCCCATGACGGCAAAACAATTTGTTTACACACCAAACAGGAGAATCATAAGGATGAACATGATTCACCCAATGCAAACCATCCCTTGGAACAACACAAACCCAATGACAATGGCACTCGGGTTAAATTGAAAGAAGATAAAACCATGAACAACCAACATAAGGCAGTGGAAGAAGGAGATGATGAAAGCAAGGGAGAAGGAGAAGAGGGTAGGCCTGACAACGAAGACAATCGATGCCTCATCTGTCCTGGATCACCCAGTTTCAGAGTTTATTTTGTTGAGCAAACACCAAATGAGAAACAAAATGGTAAGTAGGCTCAAAACAAAACTTTCAACCCAAACAACCAAATCATTGTGTGTATATTATGACCAACACAGTAGCAGCATGTTGTACAGTTGAAATGAATGATGATGGAGACATGGAAGATGCCTCACTGAAGAAGTCGCCAAGTCGTGACAGCGTTGAGAGCACCAGTAGTACAAAATCTAACGAGGTGGGTCCACAGGACCGTGTTTAGAAGATTTGGGATTTTTGTTGTGTTCCTCTCATTCTCATTCATCGACTTCATTTGATTTCTTATGAATCTTTCACGTACAGTGCCAGGAGAAGAAGACGATAAAGAAAGGGAAAAAAGGGACGACTTTGAACAGAGCGGGGAGTAGAAAAAGACCAGTTGGAGTTGGTTTAAAGAGTCTGTTGAACGTTAATAATTGTTGCTATCATTTAAGCTGTACCGGCAATGACAGAGGCAATCATCTACCTATAAAAGCTGAATCTTAAGAGTATCCATTTCAAGGGGTTGGGGAAGGGAGGCTTCCTGCTCATTTTTTAGGCCATTATCCCCCAAATGTTCCGTCTCCCCAATGTCAGTAATCAAACCCACCATACGTTTTACTTACGATCATGTAATACCAATTCATTCCCCCTCTAATGTTATTCCACAACCCATACTTCTTTCTTTATTATTAACAACAAAATAACAAAACACTGTCACACATCCAATATATATTAAGCATTCTTCATTGCACAATTCTCCACCAACTACATACGAGAGGAAGTCCTCCCAAAATCAAAACTCAACCTTACTTGGATTGATGAGTGAAAGCAGATGACAGGAACTCCTCGTCCTCCTTGAACACTTCCAGATTCTTGGATTTCATAATGTAATTAACAGCTCCATCGTCGAAATTCAACACAAACGCCAACTTGATGAGCTCAGATAATGAACCTACATAATCACTATACTCCCAAAGGACACCTGCAGATATAACCTCAGAGAAGTATGTGGCATACTCTATCATCTCCTTGCGTTCTCCTGACATTACCATCTTCTGGGTGAACAACTTCGAACTCTCCCGTTCCCAACGTATCAATTGGGTTGCATTAGCGTTGATGACCTCCCCTGAAGTTAGGGATAAACTATACTGCATCATCACAGGTTCTTCCGTCTCAAGAACAGAAAGGTTGAGGAGACATCCAACAATTTCATGCCTCTTCACTGCATCAATTTTCTTGGCAGGATCTGCCAAGAAACCAAGAATGAGCCGCATCAGTTCTTTTCCAATTGGAATGTCATTTGGATTGGCATGCTTGAGGTTGGTTCCATCAACAATGGCTGCCTCCACCCTCTGGACAGACTCAGAGATTCTCCGAACCCCGATGTTCTTATAAACTTCCAACAAACTAGTACGAGGCAAGGAAATGGAGCTCGACTGGGGATACCAAACAAAAACGGGAAGAGGAGACATACGTTCAAATAAATCCTTCAATTGTAGATCATCTGCAATAAAAATGTCACGTTTATCAAATAAAAAAACTCCATCTGATCCAGAAATTGCAGGCACCTTGAGAATGGCATCAGTAAAAGCTGGCTCAGTTTTTGAATTGAAGTGCTTGGTAACATATTTCCAAAACTTAAAGCACTTGTCACCAGAAAGTCCATCTTCATTACTTTCCCAACTTTTCCAGAGTTTGCAGTAATCGTCAAGGGAAGGATTGGATCTTACTTTAAAGGCTTTGGAAAAGAACATGAGCAAATCTTTTTCGTAGTATCTCTCAAGAACCGTCAGCTGCAAACCAAAAAGATCCTCCTTGTCAAAAAGTACACAGCTTTCTGGGCTGATCCACTGTCCATTAGAATCTCCAACAGGTACCCAAATCCTTTTAGCAGCTTCAGTGTCCGGCTTCCAATTGAATTCACTCAAATACGTATAAATTCGTGTGATAGTGGATAACTCACAATGGAAGTCTAGAGAACTTGACACTAGTTGACATCCACGGTCCAAATCAACAACCACGCCTAATTCTTGGAGCTCCACTTTATACGACTTGATATCAAATTTGTAAAATTCTGCATCGATGAAAGGCACATCGGTCGGCTTCAGATAAGAATCCCACTCGGGAAGAAAGAGCAGACTCTCTTTAGGAGACCTATAACCGTACGAGGTGTTCAACCATTTCCCCGATACCCTTCCAGAGAAATGGTCGGGAAAGGAATAGTTCTTCAACACCAAAGTTCGGATGCAGTCCAAAAGTGAACGAACATTTTGAGAAGTAATTTTGGTAGGATCATCCGGAAGATGAAGGGCAGCAACAACCATATGAGCGCCATCTTTAAACTCAGTAATAGCTCCCATATCCTTCAACTCTTCTCGGTATTCACGAATACGTTTTCCGTAGTAGTTTTTAGTATTATCGATAAAAGGGAGGAGAGTAATTGAATGTATGGATTTCCAAGTTGGACCAAACCATATGCAATCTTTAGGACACCTATGATCACCCAGAACAACTCGCAACCACTTCAACTCACGAATGCACTTCTCAAGATCTTCAGGAAACGTCTTTTTCGACTTTTTTAGATGTTTGTAGATTGACAGAAACGATAATGCATTTTCCTTTGTTAGAGAATTGGAACCCACTTTTTGCCTGAACACCTGAGAAGCTGCGTTGACTGCCTCCTCAAAATCGACCACCACTCCCATGCTTTTCAATTCCGCCCGGTAAATAATAATGCTTCTCCCATAAAAATCACGGTCAACTAGAGGGAAACCAGTAAAAACTTGGAGAAGGCGGCCAAAAGAAGGATCCAAGAAGTAGCATTCCGCAGGCGATTTGTAGCCCTGGTCTGTCTTCAGGCATTTCACACTTCTGAATCTGTCAGCCAGAAAAGTACGTGATTTGGGTCCCGACATACAGGAAAGAATCAACAAAAATGCGTCGCCTCCAAGGCAAGTTAATTGGGAAGGAGGCTTCAAATTGCCCACAACAAATTGACAAACATTGTCCAAGTCAACCTCCACCCCAAGCAATTTAAGTTCTTCCCGGAAAGAAAGCATCTCATCACCATAGTAATCCACGTCAACAAAAGGGATGTTGCTCAGATGTGAAGCGGTGGACCATTCCTTCGTGTACAATACTGCTCCCACTGGAGACATATATCCACGACGTGTCTTCAGCCATGTCCCTTTTCTTATGCTTGCGATGAAGTCTTGAACAGGGAATTGATTTCTCAAAAAACGGATGAACTTCAACATGGACAACACATTTTCTCTGGTCAAAGTTGATAGAGCCGCCACTTTCATGAGGTGGTTTCCAATGAAATTTAAGACTTGGTCATACTCAAACATGACACCAACAGTTTTAAGCTCCTCAGAATAGCCACTTAGCATATTACCGTAGAATACACGATCAATCAGGGGGATGTCCACCAGGACGGACCCTTTTTCCAAAATACTTCCCCATGAGGAGGAGACGTCAAAAGACTGAGATGGAGGTCTATAACCAGAAGATCCATTCAGAGTAGTTCTTAGCCAACAACCTTCCTTTATGCATTTCAAAAACATGGGAGGAATGGAAACTAGTCGAGCTTTCAAGCTACGAATCCAATCCAGTAGCAAAACCACATTCTGCACGGTAAGTGGTGAAGAAAATACAGAAATTTCGATATTGGGGGGAGAAACAAAAGGGATATCAGAAGCATGGATATGGGATATAAGAAAATCTATTTGCTGTTTTGTAGTCATAGATTCACCTGCAAAATAGCGTGGGGAGATGTAATCAGCTCCCAACTCGACATACCTATCATTTTGCCAAGGATTTGAACCAAGCAATTGTGCCCATTTGCTACCATCTGCTGGAATCAGAAGCCCCTTCCAATTTTTTCTAACAACACCGTATTTGTCTACAACCGGCATAAGTCTACACAGAGACTCCAGCTCAACGTGCGTCAGATAATATTTAGTCGATGAGTGATAGAGGAAGTGAAAATAGGTGATTATGTGTTGTCGGTTATCGCCAAGGGAACTGACAAGGTGTTTTGCAAGTTGAAATACGGTGATGGAATCAACTTGAGCTCGGTCCCGAAGCCATTGCAACAAAGTGACCTTCCCGGGATAGAATCGGATGGACTTATGAGTGCTTTCTGGCATAAAATAACGGTTGGAAACAGGTCTGAATTCCCTGTTATTGGATTTAGTAAGCCAAGAGAGTTGGTCATGCGGAGCAAGATGCACCTTTGTTCCACCCATCGACGTACACTCATTTAAACTGCATACACAAACATTCCCAGAGAGAGCAACATATTTTATAAGTGGCACGTTCTTCATGCTTGAAACATGAAACCTTGAACTCCAATTTTCAGCAACGAATTGTAGAAGCTCCAAATAAACATCATCAGAGACACCCTCAACAATGTTAGATCCCAGTAGGCACTTGGCATACCATTCATCATTAACAAGATTCACGCCAAGGAAACTCAGAACCTGGTCGTATTCCTTGGTGTCGAAGGAGAAACTTAAGATGCGGTTTCCATGGGACGATAGATTAGCCAAACTCACACCTTGAGTGTGTGCCTTGGTTAAGATATTCAAAAAGGCGGGCATAATTCTACCCACTTCACAAGGCCTATGAAAGAACCTCTGCTTGGAGAAGGAATGACTGGGAACGATATTTTGTAGGAGAAGTTTCTGCTTGATCGAATCCCTCACGGAATTCAACTTGTCGAAGGAAGAGGAAATGATGGGCAAGAAGTTGAACATAGAGGCCAAAGAAGAGAAGGGAGCGTCATCTGTAGCTTTCACGAGTGAGACGAAAGCAGCGACAAAAGCAGAGGGAACACAGTCGAGGATCCCTTGGTTCCATTTGTTGTCGAGGAGAATGGTTTCCCGGGATGATGATAAAACGAAGTCTGCCTGAATAATAAAGGGAAAGCCGGTTACCATCTCGGTGGGAAGGAAAGCGTAGATTCCAGGGGGCTTAGTTCCTCTGTTGAGACGTTCTCCATTTGGAAAAGCCAATGTGACAACAAGTTCCTCAACTCCCGCCCTCCTCTCCACTCTGTTTTCTTCCTTCACTGGAAACTTCTGCTTCCACATGTAGTAGGAGCATTGGGTATCGATTTCACCAGAATTTTCCTCGGAAGAGAGATGGAGAGTGTAGGAGTGGGCATTAATGTTCTTGATGGACACGAAGTTTGTGTCACTTGAAATGGAAATCGCATTGACAGTACTGGTGTTGGGATCCTCGTTGAGTTCCCTGACTGAAAGTTGCTTGATTTTTGAAAGGAACAGTAGAACTTCAGGGTGAATGGTTGACAGTTGGTGCTTCACAGGTATGATCTTATCGGCCTTCAAAGGCAGAACTAGGGTGGTTGTGGGGAGTGTGGAGTGGTGACCATAAATTTTGTTTATGTTAGAAAGAATTGAAGTATCTTCAACCCACTCGGGAACAACGAACCCAACACCGCAAAGTGGGCAAGGCTCTTCGTTGAAACGTATATGATATCCGTTGCTGAATATGTAAGGACGGGAGGTGATCAGAAAAACACTTTTGAACCCAATTCCTGCACATTTCCAACAAATGTAAGAATAGACATCACAACTACAGTGTAAGAATAAAAGTGAAGGAAGATAAATACAGTAGTTATCGATCTTATTATTTTATTTAATTTAAAACATAAAATAAATATAAGCAACAAATTTTGAATTAATAGTACGAAAAATTACTGTCCCATAAAGTAATTAATTAATTTGAAATTGAGAATAAAAGGCCGACAATACCTGACAGCCTAAAAGAAAAGGCTAAAGTAATACATAATTAATAAATCATAAAAAGGTAATGAAAAATAAGTATCCATTAATTTATACTTGAACTTATTTAAAATAAATATCCAACCAAATAGGAATGCAAGAGACAGCATGTACGTAAATGAGGAAACAAGTATGGAATAGAGAAAAAGGAAAGGGTACCCTTCTCGCCAATGTAACCGCGTTTCCTGTTGTTCTTTTTGGTGGAGCGGCCGACGCTGCAAATAGAGTCGATGTTCTTAGCAGAAAACCCGACCTCGTTGTTGAAAATCATAAGCGTGGCAGCAGCGCCAGTTGCGGTGACGTCTCGGGATGTAACAATGAACTCGAGCGAGGGTTTGAGGGAGGTGGAGTACTCGTTATCTTCAGCATTCTGTAGAAATGGAAAAGCAAGGAGGGTGAGACGGAGAGGCGGAGAGGAAATGGAGTAAAATGGGAGTTCATACCTGAATAAGCTCCATCAGAAAGTGAACGTCCTTGGTGTAAAGCTCCGCAGAAAGGTTCCTGACGGCCTGATGGAGGTCCTCGGTTAAGGGATTCGGTGGTCCTCCGATTGAAAACTTGGTTCGCCTGATGTCTTCAATGTGCTGCCTCGGGGTACACATTTTTCACTTCTTCCAAATTCCAAATTAGCAGGTGTATGCAAGTATAGCACATAGCAGCGAGGAGGAGGAGGCAGTAGTTAAAAGGGAGTAGGAAAACTTGGTGAGGAAGCATATGCATAGTAAAAAGGCGTACGGATCCACACTGATTGGAGCGAAGACCGAGCAAGTCTTGGGGCCATTGGAAATGCTTTTGGGAGATGAATGGGGCGGGCATGCATGTCATTGGAACACCAACTTTACCCCTCCGCTTAAGTAAATAATAAATCAACTTTACCCCTCCGCTTAAGTAAATAATAAATCTTACTCCTTCCCTCCTGCCTTCCCTCCTTCCTTCCCAATACAATGCCTTCTATCTTCCTCTTCTAATTTATCTTGTCCCTTCTTCAATGCCTTCTAACTTCCTATTCTAATTTATCTTTTCCCTTCTTACATCATTAAACATTAAATTTCACTCCTCCATTTTTACTTTTACCTTCAAAAAACAACAAATAAAGCTAAACCCAATTTTCCATCTTCCTAAACTATTGGGTTGTTTTAGTTATATTTATTACTTTTTCTTCTTGGGTTGGGGATTATGATTCAGTGATTCCTGGCTTTCAAAACATTAATATATTCTTTTTTCTCCACAACATCGCATCATATATTCATTCCTACGTACCGTGAATTATAATGTGTATGCACCATCCCGAAAGGCTAAAATTATTTCAAACATCACTTTAAAGATTTTATTATTTTAGTTGAACAAATGGAAGAATGAAATTTTGAACCTCTATTTCAAGAGAGAGAAAGAAAAAAAAAAACAAAAACAAAACAAAAGCAGAAAACTGCCTATTATCAATGGTACTTTTTCAAAGTGAAGAAAAGAAACTAGGCATTAGAATAAGTGATGAAAACTGAAACTCAACAGCAAACCAGAATTTGAAGCATGTTACTGATAGCAGCGAAGTGGGGGGGATGTTAAGGAGAGACCCTTCACAATAAAAAATGAGGATATAGCAAAAAAAAAAAAAAAAAAAAAAAAAAAAAAAAAAAAAAAAAAAAAAAAAAAA